TCAGTTCACGAGTCTTTGTTAGGCGTCCGATAATTATTGATGCTAATAATTTAGACGTTATACTGATTGAACTATTTCCTTCAACAAGACAGCACCGCTGAGAATATGCAATACCCTACTCTTTCATCGTGGTACACGACCGTCATTAACGATAAAACAGCTACAGCAGGGGTGGAAACTAGGAAATAATTGAAAAACAAAAAGTTGTAACGAATTGGGAATCGCAGAATATGGCGGAAGACAAAGAACCGATACGCCTGCGTCATTCCAAACAATTTCCACTTATGAGACTGATCATTCACAACAATAATTTATGATAATCACGTGCACTCCGACTAGGTGCTAGTCTACACTACACTTGTTAACATTGTTAAGTCCAATTGTCAGTCACTTCATGGACTGATCCCATGTTTGTTTTGGCCGATACTAGCTTTCTTCCAGACTACTCCTACACCTGAAAATGTCGGTCGTAGAGGTAGACAGTAATTAGGAATACGTGACACGTCCCAACCACCTCAGTTAGTGGAGATCTACTACCTCATCAATCCACTTTCCATCCTTACCTAGTACCTTATTCAGTCAGTCAGTCAGTCAGCTACAACGTAGGACCAGGCACATATGTGCATCGGTCCAGGTTGCCATACCTCATTAGCACAGCAAGATGAACACCGGATTCATAGGAGTGGTTAGGTCAAAGGTTGCAATAAGGATATAGTATAGGAAGAAAGAATTAGTTCGTAGACAGAAAGAATGAAGTGATTTTAGTCTCTTAGTTTAAGGGAAGACAGGGAGTGTATACACCGACGCCACTGTGATCGATTCTGAGCCATGTCACCAAGAGTCTCCAACCATTGGTTACGATAGTCACGCGGACCCCAACCAAGTAGTCTGCATCTACCAACGTGGCTCAGACTAGAAGTTAGTGACTTCAGGCACTGATGCCACGTTTTGGTTTGGCCGCCCCTAACTTTCTTCCAACCATCCCCTACCCCGGTTAGCATTGCACGTCGTGGTAATCGGTGTTCAGGCATACGTAATACGTGGCCCAACCATCTTAGTCGATGAAGATTCATAACCTCATCAACTGATTTACCATCATTCCCTAATACCCTGCGTCTAACCTCACTATTACTTACCCGGTGATCCCAACAGATGCCAGCAATATTTCTAAGGCATCTGTGGTCAAATACTAGTAGCTTACGGGTGTCTTCTACTCTTAAGGGCCATGTTTAGCTGCCGTAAATTAAAACAGAACGAACTGCCGCGCAGTATACTCGTCCTTTTATTGATAGACGGATATCTCGCCTTCGCCAAAGGTGACGCAAGTTGGCAAAAGCCAAACGAGCTTTTCGAATCCGTGCTGAGATTTCGTCCGATACCAACCCATTAGGGCTGATCAGACTTCCAAGATAAGTGAAGTTATCAACGCGTTCGACTACTTCACTCCCTATCCTTAGTTCAGGTGTTGACGCAGACCAGTCCTGAAGCAACAACTTGCATTTAGAGGGAGAGAAGCGCAACCCAAACATTCTGGCATTGTTGCTTAGTGCTACCAAAAGACTCTGCATTTTCTCAGCGTCTTCACCAAACAGGACTATGTCATCTGCGTATTCTAAGTCGATAAGTGGACCTCCTGGAAGGAGATCAATACCCGAGAATTCAGTCGACGAGAGTGTTATTTCCATCAATAGGTCTATGATGAAGTTAAACAGAAATGGAGAAAGTGGACAGCCTTGACGGACACCACTTGAGGTTGCAAAAGTAGATGACAGTTCGCCATAAGCCCTGACTCGACTAGTAGTGTTCGAGTAAAGAGCCTTCACAAGGTTTATGTACTTCTGAGGTACGCCTTTCAATGACAGACACTGCCACAGAGCCTCGCGGTCTACCGAGTCAAATGCTGCTTTTAAGTCAAGAAAGACCACCATCGTCGGACGCCGATAGGTATGCCTGTGTTCTAGAACCTGACGAATGGTGAATATGTGGTCGATGCAGCCACGACCAGGTCTAAAGCCAGCTTGGTTCTCTCGAGTTTGTAGTTCACGAGTCTTAGTTAGGCGTTTGATAATTATCGAGGCCAGTATTTTAGAAACTATGTTTGTTAAACTAATCCCTCTGTGGTTGTCACAGGATGATTTTGACCCTTTCTTATATATTGGGACGATAAGTGATTGTGACCAGTCAGATGGAATAACGTCTAACTCCCAGATCTTAGCTAAAATATCAGTCAACCTAGTCGCTAAAATTGGACCACCATCCTTAAAGACTTCTGGAGCCAATCCATCTGGACCAGCTGCCCTTCCTCGTTTCAGATTAACTATAGCCTTTTGAACTTCAGCAAGAGTCGGGGGACCTACTTCAATGTTCCATTCACACTGTCTGGGAATGGAGGGTAGTTGTAGAGTAGCTGAAGGCCAGCTGAACTGTTCCCTAAAGTGTTCCGCCCATCGTTCTAAACGCCTGGACTTGGAGTAGATGAGTGTATCGTCTTTTTCCGAATAATCTCACTTACACTTGACTTACTAATTCCAGTTTCTTTTATTAGTCTGTAAAGCTGTCTTGTGTTCCCTATAGTCGCCGCCTTTTCCATCTCTTTTGCTTTCGTTACCCACCACTGCTCACGGTCGTTCTTTAGACTCTTTCTTAACCTAGATCTGATTTGTTTTCGCTCTTTATCATGTTCAGAACCTGATGGGACGAGTTTGCGAGAATCCATCAGTGTGACAGACCTTGAAGAAATCCACTGGTTCCTTGCAACTCTGTGGTTTAAGTCACTAATAGATGTCACTGCTGTTTCCACAGCTGATTGTATGCCCTTCCAAGCAACATCTGGGTCAGCCTCGTCTTCACAACTACCTAAGTGTGACCTCAGTTGTTCCTGGAACCTACTTTTGGTTTTCTCGTTACTCAATCAGTTCTAATGGGTCTTTTTAATGTGGCTTTTTTGCGTCCAGTGAGGCGCAAGCAGATGCGTGCCCGTATTAGGGCATGGTCGGAGTCCAAGCAGGTACTCCAGAATGAGCGACAATCTTCTACCGACCTTCTCCAACGATGACTGATGGCAATATGGTCTATTTGAGTCCATCGTTGGTTTGGTGTAGGGGGTCGCCATGTTAGACGATGTCTCTCCTTATGCTTAAAATTTGTGTTTGCTAAAAATAAACGATTGTCTGAGCATAGCTGCAGCAGACGATCACCATTATCTGTTCGCTGTGTCGGAATACTAAAATACCCACCAAAATACCTTTCTGTTTTGTTTAAACTACCTATCTGAGCATTAAAGTCACCTGCTACGAGTACTATGTCTGAGCGTTTAGCTTTCTGAAGAAGTTCGGACAGCTTTCTGTAAAATTCATCTTTCACATCATCTGAGCTGCAGTCAGTGGGAGCGTAGGCAGAAACGACAAAAAGGCAACGACGTGTGTCCCTATCCTTCCGAGTTCTTACGTAGCCGCTCAGCCGAACAGCACATAGACGACTGTTGACGGGGATCCACTCTAGCAGTGCTTGTTCGGCCCTCATGCTTAGTGCTATGCCTACACCTGCCAGTCCACGAGAACTTGCCATCGGGTCACCAGATACACGAAGGGTGTACCTCGTTGGCTCTCCGTTTTGCCGAGGTGAGGTCAGGTGAATGACCACACTGGAATCCTGTATGCGTGTTTCGGAGACACAGCACACGTCAATGGTAAGAGACTCTAGGGTTTTAGCCAAGGAAGCCTGCTGACCAATTTGACATAGGGTTCGTACGTTGAAGGCTCCAATGTGTAGTTTGGAGCGAGGTTTCAGTAGACCTGGGACAGTATTTTGCGCACTAGAATCGTTGGCTATGGTGACACTTGAGGTGGAAGCCGAGAGAGGAAATTTAAAGTTGAAAGTCGATGTAGGAGGAATAATAGGAATTGAAGAGGAAGGTTGATTATGAATACAGTGGTCTTGAGTGCTGTTAGAGGTATGAGGGCGGTTTTCACTTCCCGGTTGCCCACACCGTGGAAGGGTTGTTCTGGAGGTACCTGAAAAGGAATTTGGATTAAAGGTGGTCTTAGTGACCTGAAAGCGTGACCGCAGTGCCCAAGGGACAACTGCTTGAGGTCGGTCACACACGACCTTGTTATGGGTAATTTTTGTGTTAGCTCCGTACTTATTGAGACCTTACCGCCGGAGACGGATATCCGTGGGATAAGGCGAGGTGTGTATTTTTAGGGTCGACCTTTTCTAACCCCACCCCTCCTTGTGGGAAGGCAGCATCGCTGTCATGCTGGTTGTCTGAAGGAAACACCTTACTGCTGTCACACCTCTGTACAGTCAGCAGTACGACTTCGCCTTCGGACCTTGGGTTTGTTGCTTTTAGTCTTACCGCTCTTCAACCGACCTGTCTGACATGGTAGGACCTTGAGGAACGGTTGTTCCAGCCAGTATAGCTCGGTTGCTTCATCACGATAGGCAAGCCCGACCACCACGTCAAGGTAGCAACAACGGTCGGGTAGTACCTTATTCCTAACCATACCATACGTACGGACACTAATTGTCAACTGATTAAGTGCGGATTGCATGGTTTGGGTATCATCACACGGTAACACAATATCATTCGTATACTCAAGGTCCAAAAGTTTTTCTTCAGGCAACAGATCCACACCGTTATTAACTACATCCATTAGAGCTGTTTCCAGAAAGTCATCGATAGCGAAAATTAAGAGGAATGATGAGGTTGGGCAACTCTGCTTGATCCCACTGCTTGAATGGAATAGTGGAGATAGGTGGTTGTCCGAGGACATGCCTTACTTCTGTAACAACTCCCTACAGTCATCAGTACGGCTCCTCTCTCAAACTTTAAGCTTTTGCTTTTAGTTTTAACTTTCTCCAACCAACCTGCCTGGCATGGTAGGACCTAAAGTAACATGTGCTCCAACCAACATAGCTCGGTTGAATCATCACGATAGGCAATCCCGACCCCCCGCATCAAAGTAGCAGCTATAGTAAAGTGCTTTTTCATTACTTTATGGTTTTATGGAACAAGACAACTCACACCACCTCTCTTCATTTCTTTTGTTTATTTTCGTTATCTTAGCAAACAGAAGCAATAGTAACAAAGGAAAAGCATATCTAAACATTAGATACACGCTCAAAGTAACGAGTAATGACAGACAACAGTTATATTTTGGCGACTGCATTTTAAAACATCTAATTTACACTGCATCTCAACATTATAAAGGTGGATACTAAAAGATTAGAAATCATGAAAGCAGAAACTTAAATATATACACGGTGCATATAGCTATTTAAATAAAAATACGCAACTTATAAAACATTTGAGTTTCTAAACATGAAATTATTGAATGCCTGCATATGACAAAAAAAACAGAAGTGAAAAAATACTTATCGAAATGTAAGTGTACGAATAAATAAATTAATTTGAAAAATAATTGTAATACTTTTATATTCACTAAGCAAAAACTTCAGCATAAAAGAGGAAAACAAAAATATTAATCCTATTGGCTTTTGTTTTTTTTAAAAAAAATTCTTTCACCTAAATGTTACAGCATCAAGTTAAGTGGAAATAAATAAACACACTAAATTCTGTACAAGCGACATAATGTTACTACAGGAAATATTATGAGACAAACAATTTACAGAAAATAGGATAGATATAGTTAAGGAATCATCGAATTTGACAAATAAACGTAGGAAGATCAAAGTAACAATATTTCCAATACTAACTTCTATAAAAAATATCGACAACTGCAAACGAACTCACATCGGTGATAAACGTAACTTGAACATGACTTCCTTGACTACGCTAACCAATTAACATCATAATTACAGAAATGTATATCGAAAATGAAGATAAGAATAATAAAAACCTTCATTGTTATCGCCCAATTTGAGTAGCGATCCAATCTAAACCTTGGGGAAGCCTAGAAACAAGTGGTAGTAATAATATCTTAATTTAAAAACAAAAAGAGTAATACAAAAAATACTCAACTAAAACTTCAAAGAGTATCATTTGAAATGAACTTACTCTAGTAATATACCTGAAAATATATAAAGCTTTGATGGGAGATTGATTGCGAACTAAGAAACTCATTTTTTAACCACTAGCACATCTAAACAAGTTCCACTCGTGTACACTAAAGCCAATAATAGCACTGCCAAACTGGTTTCGTCTAATATATATAAACAACTGAAATAGGGAAGATCCTATTTCCGGTGTCGTCTACACAACCAGAAAAAAGTATCCGGTAGATAATAGTAAGCCAGTTTACATAACCAAGAGGATCGCAACAGAACTGAATAATGCCATGGGTAGTGCTTTCATGCATCATATAGAAGGTTTATCCTAAGTCACTTCCTCAGCAAACTTTAATGAGAGGGACTGCGCTTTTCCTAAGAATAGATATACTTTTTATTTATTTATTTGAACATAAGTAGTGGTACAAAGGGGCACTAAATATATATGTGCCACACAATAACAATGAGAATGTAAAATGTGTATGAGAAAAAAAGAGAACAGTAACTAACAGAAATTAGTGTATGATAGTGAAACAATAATAATAGGAGAGGCAGTTCAGTTAACTAAGGTCTATGCACTATCTCTCGGATCACAATCGCAGAGTCGTGAAGGACCAACAGAAGTCAGTCCGGTACAACTTTCTTTCATACCACGACACCATATTATACACTGACCACGTCTCCGCTTTTTCCAACCAGTCCCAGTGTAGGCAAATAATGCACAACGTGGAATTCTCTGGGACGACATTCGTAGAACATGTCCAAGCCACCGAAATTGATGTTTCGAGATGGTGACACCAATTGGATTATCGTCTCTGCGCCCGAACACACGATGCCGAACCTCTGCATTACTAACATGATGTTGCCACTGGATGTCAGCAATCCTTCGGAGACAACGATGATCGAACACAGAGTCGTCTAACATCCTCAACTCGGAGAGGCCAGGTTTCACAAGCATAGAGTAAAACTGCTCTCACTGACGCGTTGTTGATCCGACCTTTTACAGCCAGACTAACATCACGAAGGTGCCAAAGGTGGCCCAGATTAGCATAAGCCGCTCTGGCTTTCATTATGTGAGTCAATCTCATCACTCACGCCACCACCAGCACTTATGCAGCTACCTAGATACACGAACATCTCGACTACTTCTATCTGCTCACCATCCAGGGTGAGTACAGGATTAGAATCCTGCCAGTCTTGTAGAATTACTTTGCACTTCGAAGATGCAAAGCATATACCGTACCTATGGACACTAATTGCCAACTGATTAAGTGCGGATTGCATGGTTTGGGTATCATCGCACAGTAACACAATATCATTCGTATACTCAAGGTCCAAAAGTCTTTCTTCAGGCAACAGATCTACACCGTTATTAACATCCATCAGAACTGTTTCCAGAATGTCATCAATAGCAAAGTTGAAGAGGAATGGTGAGATTGGGCAACTTTGCTTAACCCCATTACTCGAATGGAACAGTGGAGAGAGGTGGTTGTATGCCCTCACTCTGCCTGAGGTGTTTGTATATAGGGCTCTTAAGATGTTGATATACTTCTCAGGCACACCCTTCTTCAATAGACAATCCCAGAGAACAGTCCTTTCCAACGAATCGAAGGCAGCCCTGATGAGGAGAAACACTACGATTGTTGGCCTTTGACAAGCATGACGGTGTCCTAACATTTGGCGGAGGGTGAAGATATGATCAATATATCCTCGATCATAACGAAAACCAGCCTGCTCCTCATGAGTCAATCATTTTCGGATTTCTGAACAATCTACGAAGTATTACGGAAGCCAATAGCTTGAACGCAATCGGAAGTAGACTTATCCCCCGACAGTTGTTACAGGAACGACGTGAACCCATTGTAAAGATGGGACAACTATCGACTCATCCCATGATGTTCGAACACTCTCTAACTGCCAGACCTTTGTAAACAACTCAGACATCCTTTACCAGAAAGCTAACGCCATCTTTAAAAAAGCCCGGAGGTAAGTCATCTGGGCCTGGTGAGTTGTAGCGCTTCAAGAGTTGGAGTTCCTTGCGGACTTTCGTCTCGTTAGGTGGATCAGTCGTCACAGACCACGGAGAGCAAGACGGTCCGACCGATGCTACCGGGGCAGCAGACCCGGCCGTTGCTGCTACCTTTATGTGGTGGTCGGGCTTGCCTATCCTGATGAACCAATCAAGCTATAATGGCTGGAACAATCGTTCCTCAAGGTCCTACGATGCCAGATAGGTCGGTTGAAGAGTGGCAAACCCGAGGTCCGAGGGCGAAGTCGTAATGCCGATTGTACAGAGGTGCAACAGCAGTATGATGTTTTCTTCAGACAACCAACACAACAGCGACGCTGCCTTCCCATAAGGAATGGTGGGGTTAGAAAAGGTCGACCCTAAAAATGCACATCCCGCCTTATCCCACGGATATCCGTCTCCAACCGTAAGGTCTCAACAAGTACGGATCTAACACGAAAATTACGCATTAAAACGTTGTGTGACTGACCTCAAGCAGTTGTCACTTGGGCACTGCGGCCATGCTCTCAGGTCGCTAAGACCACCCCTAACCCAATTTCCTTTTCAGGTACCTTCAGAAGGGGGCAGTAGACCAGTTGGACTGTCCCTCGAAAAACTCTGTACATCGTCCAAGACGTCAATAGATGTTAGTGATTGGCATCCCGTCAGCTTCACAGATTGTTTCGCCCACACCAGACTTCTTGCTGCCAGTGGATCGGATGAGTTAAAAGAGCTTCTGGCAGTTACCAGATACAACTGCTTCTTTCAATTCATTGGCACGCTCCGACCGCCAGGCTTCTCGCCCCTTACACAAGCTCTGCTTAATTTCATTACGTAACAGTTTGCGTTTGCGGTCGAACTTACGGTCATTCGGAGTAGACCGACGAGATTTAATCAATTGTAAGGAACCTGAAGAGGTCCAGTGCCTATGAACGGGACGTTTCGCGAAGCCGCAAGCGACTTTACTCGCCAGTTTCATGGCGTCATGCAATTGAAACCAATGCTCATCTATACTTTTCGATAGGATGTTAGCTAGCCTTGAACCTAGGTCGATTTGGTATTTAGTTGCAACAGAAGCTGCAATCAAGTTACTGACATCGATCCGTTTAGGTCGATGAATTTGTTGGCCACTGAAAAGTAAGGTAAGATAAGCGCAAACAAGGGCATAATCAGAGCTCATATAGGTACTCCAAAATGAGCGGCAGTCTTGTACACAACCACGCTAGTGGTAGCTCATCGCGATGTGTCAATCTGAGTCCAGGCTTGAGATGCAAAGGGAGGATGCCAGGTGGCATATCAACGATGACTGTACCAGTAGTTAGTACTTATTATTCATTACTTGAACACAAATATTGGTACAAAAGGGCACTGAATACATATGAGCCACACAAGTCACTTGATTTGTCTGTAGGTTATAATACTGCCAGGGTTCCCAAATCGAAACGAGTGGTTTTATCAGGGGACCACACCCGGAACCTTCGACCTAAAGGTCTAATCCACAAGGCAGAGAAGCAAAGTTGGGAGATGCAGTTCCATGTTAGCCGGTGACCAACAATTGGTTCATACGCCATTTTTTACTTCAGGATACTGGAGCCTATGTGCACCATTGGTTTATAATCAGGATTTTCCAACTCACTTAGGTTGATCCTCCGTGTTCACCAACCCGGTTAAGGCACCGGACATTCGCTTTTTGTCTTCTCAATTTCGTAAAGAACAACCCTACCACGAGAATGCAATGAGTAGGACTTCCCTGTCAGTGGCTGCATACGCGTGGCCATGTGAGAGAATTTCGAGAGGGAGCAGACTCTCCCTATCCTCAGCCGTACCAAGCATTCGGGGGCCAGAAACAAGTTATAGTCTGCGCACAGTTGCAGTAGACGGTCCCCGTTACCCGACCTGCGACCAACAAGTTCCCCTCAGCCACTTAAACGATTCTCCTATGTACTTAGACGCCCGACCAGAGCATTCAAGTCTCCGGCTAGTACTAAAACATCTGCCGAACACCCTTTCTACAAAAGAACTGTTAACTGGTAGTAAAACTCATCTTTGATTGCATCCGGGCTGCAATCTGCCGAAGCATAGACGGAGATGACAAAAAGACATTGTTACTCACATCGACTTCTCACTTTGATGGAAATTTCTAATCTAATAGCACACAACCGACTGTTAATTGGGATCCAATCGATCAGTGCCACCTCCGCTGTAGCGCTTTGTGCGATACCAATACCAGAAAAACCAGAAGATGCCACAGGGACCCCGGAAAAACGCACGTGAAACAAGCTTTTCGAGGCGACAGATGAAGAGCGGATTTGTGGTACTTCACTAGAGTCTTGAATACGGGTCTCGGATAGACAAAGGACATATTTCAGTAAAACCCTAACCAATATTTAGCAGTCTCACGATGAAGCGGGAAGGTTTTAGAATCGATAATAACGTTTGAGACAACTGAAAATTTTCTGTGATAGAAGACAGTAATAGTAGGTTGTATGGTATTTTGACAGACACATAAAAGCGGAGTACTTCAAAATACAGTGGTCCTCTACTCTTATTAGTCTAAGTGAATTCACTAACAGTTCATTTTGATTCATATGAACAATGTAAAGTTACGAAAAATGTAAACAATAACGACAAGAAAGTTACAAGCTAACTTGATTGATTGATCGGTTTAGGCTCTAAATTTAGTATTTGGATGCTAAGAAACTAGTTGGACTCTGTTAGGGACGATGTATCCCAGAAACTCATATTTGTAATTTTATCATATCGATTAACTGATTAAATAGCAGTCAATTGATGAACTCATTGATTAATGTTTAAAAATTTCCTATGACAATATCGGTTATATATATTTGTATAAGTTTTAAATTGTGTTTGTGGGCTCGCTCTTTTTCTGGCTGTTTGCAGAAGATATTTCCCATACCAAGTTTGGACTTCGCCTTCTAGGTAGCGGGGCTGGAACGCATCAATAGCTAGATTACTGGTCTTTGGTCACTGAGTCTTGTTCTCGTTCTCAGATTAAGTGAACTCGTGAAGCTTCAAACCTAACAGACTCTTCATTTATCACAGTAATTAAAGATACAATCACTAATTTCAAACCCACAATAAATGTTAAAGATTAGTCGATAGAGACGAAAAGATTATTTGGTGAACGACTAGACACTGTTTGTAGTACAGCATTTAACTGGACGGTTCAAACGTGATCTTTTGCCTTTCCTGAGATAGCACACCACAAAGAAACATTCGTGAACAGGAAATCCTTCCCAGCTCTAATTCTTTATTACATATGGATTTCCAGACAAGGTAGAAGAATCCTGTATACGAGTAATATCTTGTACCGTAGTCCAGAATATAGCACATAAACTCTCCTGATTCAGATGACATTTAAGGATGTTATAATTTTTTCGCAAGACAATGAACTTGATAAAGAAATGTTAATGGAACTAGATAAATGTTTTTACTGCTTCAGAGATAATCAGAATGCATGGCTGTGACGCATAGATAAAGTGTAGTCTGTGTAAAGCAGTTTGCAAGACCGGCAAGAGCAATAACGTGACGTTAGGCAAAATGATGTTAGTTTCGTAACACTAGCAACCTTGAAGCAAGCAAAAGTCACACAATCCGCTTTGATTTTTAGACATGTTCGTCATCTTATGAAATATTTCATACCTTTTAAACATATGTACGTTTCCATGAAACGTAATAAAGATAAAACCTTGATAAACGGAACGAAAATTAGTACATGAAGTAAACGTAAAATCAACAAAATACATGTACTTGTCATGAACACAGGACTGAATGGATAAAAAACCAAAATAAATGACGAACCCTTCTCCTGTGAGTGCACAACAAGGCTGTACATGCCATGGGTGGTCCCTAATAGACGTAAGGTTTAGATTGTGACTGATTTCAGCAACAGACATGCAGCCAGAGACATCTTGTTTATTGGCAAAAATCAACATTTTCGAGCGTTTCAACTCCTAAAATAAACTAGACATCGTATTTTACTTACCTCAGCAACTAGTAGTTTACACAGCTCCTGTTTAGTCAGGTATAGACGTTCTCGATCTGTACTGTCAACAACTAAAATGACAAACTACATGCAGTTAACATATATTTGAAAAATACGTCTGAGCCTGCAAAGTATGTGGTCCAGGAAGCCCTAACAGAAGTTTGTCCACCAATATCCCACATTACGAAATGCAGATTCTTCCACTTTACTTCCTCAACATTGCTTCCAATGGTGGGAGAAGTCTGTACAGCTTCTTTGAGAACGAATTGGTACAAAATAGTAGATTTTCCAGCATTATCCAACCCCAAAATTATGACTTTATAGTCTCGAGAGTTGAAAAGCCTCCAAAACTTTGTGAACAATAAGCCCATCACCCATGTGGCTAAAATTTAAAAACCCTCCATGCATTCCTATATGTTTTTTGCAATTAATAATAAAAGTGCTGAGGAAAATTAAATAATATGATATTGTTTATTGTTTGCAAATGTCACTTATGATGTTGATCAACGCTTGTTTATCCTGCAGCTGATTCAGCGGGTTAATCAGGTTATGTTAAAATGGCTAAGGCTCCAAATGGTACAAAGGATTACGATGAAATGTATAAGCTTTTACTTGTTGGCGATTCATCCGTTGGTAAAACAAACCTTCTCCTTCGGTTTTCCGATAATAGTTTCAGCAAAACCTTTATAGCGACCATAGGTAATGTATTTGTCATGGTACACTCATAACTTTTAAGGCATTGACTTCAAAGTTCGCACCATAGAAATTGATGGGAAAAAAATTAAGTTGCAGATATGGGACACTGCCGGTCAGGAGCGTTTTCGAACTATAACAACGGCTTATTATCGTGGTGCGATGGTAAGTTGTGACAAAGTTCGCACTTATTTCCCAGGGTATCATGCTTGTTTACGACGTTACTAATATAGATTCTTACCATAATATCACTACCTGGATGAACAACATAACCGAGGTAAGTCTTTAAAAGTACCATGCTTATGTCACCCTGCTAGGCACTTGCACTAGAGTATTTTTACATAGACCACCGTTTAACATAAAGCAAGCGAACTTGGTTAGCTCCTTCAACTTTCAGGATTATTCTGTAATCCCAATCATATGATGCGTAGAGAGTGCAATAACTCCACATCAAAGTATGGGGTCATTTTACGACATCTATTCAAGGAAGAAACTTCCAGTTTGTAACCGAAGGACCTAATTCAATTTTAGGCTTTCTTAGCGCAGTCAAACTGTTAGTTTATGCTTATAATCTTTTATCCAATTACAAACTTATTGGAACTGAAAAAGTGAACAAAATGTCAGTACTTTTGTACATCGATCCAAGTCACCATATCCCATTACCACGGAGATAAAATTGTAATGCTAGAACCCAGAATAATAGAGGCAGCAGCATTATCCATGGTACTACAAAAGGTTACACATTGAAAATACTATTCGACAGCAAAATATAAATTAGTGATATAAAAACCAAAGAAGTTGTAACCAATCGGGAATCGCAGAGTATGGAGGAAGACAAAGAACCGATACACCTGCGTCATTCCAAACAATTTCCACTCATGTCATTCATAGTCCACAACCATTAATCATGATAGTCACGTGGACATTGCTAAGTCCAATTTTCAGTCACTTCACGGACTGATCCCGTGTTTTGTTTTGGCCGACACTAGCTTTTTTCAGACTACTCATACACTCGAAAACGTGAGTCGTAGAGGTAGACAGTAGTTGGAAATGTGTAACACCTCCCAACCACCTCAGTTGGTGAAGATTGACTGCATCATCAATCCGCTTCTCATCCTTACCTAGTAGCTTATTCCTAACCCACTCATCGCTCAATTCGTGGTCCAAAAATACACGAGTAATGCTTCGAAGACACCTATGGTCTGATACCAATAACCTACGAATATCCCCCATTCCTAATGACCATGTTTCACATCCATCAAGTGGAACGGAGAAGACAAACAGGACTACATCATCTGTGTATTCTAAGTCAACAAGTGAATCTCGTGGCCGAAGGTCAACCCCTAGAAAGCCATACGGTGAAAGTTTTGTAGTTAAAAGCATGCCTATGACGAAGTTAAATAGAAATAGGAAAACAAAACAACCCTTACAAACACCACTTGAAGTAACCAATTCCGATAGCAGTTCGCCATTAGCCCTGGTTCGACCAGCAGTGTTCGATTAGAGAACCTGTACAAGGTTAATCTACTTCTTTGGGACGCCTTTGAACAACAGACACTGCCACAGAACCTCATGGTCAATAGAGTTGGACGTCGAGAACTATATTCGTGTTCTCGAGTCTACCAAAGGGTGAATATTTGGTCTATGCATTCAGGTTCGAGTCTGAAGTCGGTCTGGTTTTTTCGGGTTTGTTCTTCACGACCTCTAGTTAAACATCGAAGTATTATTGAGGTTAATATTTTAGACACTATATTGGGTAAACTGGTTCTTCTGTGATTGTCACAAGGGGATTTTTATCCTTTATTATAGACTGGGACCAGTCAGAGGATTACGTCCAGTCCCCAGATTTTAGCTAAAAGCCTAGTTGACCTGACTGCTAAAACTGGATCATCAGGCCCTGCTGCTCTCCAGCGCTTTAGATTTCTTATAGCCTTTTCAACCTCACCAAGAGTTGGAGAACTTACATCACAGAGTTACACTTAAACTTAATTTGTTATAATAGGCTTGTTCTTATAATTTGTCCATCAGTTCGATCTCCTGAATTGAGACTGAGTGATACCCCCATCTTTTACCGAAATAGTTTCGCTAACACCTGGATTCTTAATACCTGTCTCCTTGATTAGTTTGAACAATTGCACACTGTTACCTATTACTACTGTCTTCTCCATTTTTTCCGCTCCTGCTACCCACCATACAAAGCTACCTCGAGATGAATATCACTTTCACGGTCGACTATCTTTCTCTAGTTGTCCCTGAAAAATGTTCCCAACTATCTCATTATTAAGTTGAACTCTAGGGAGTTTTCTTGCTGTGGTTTTTCTACGTCCAGTAAAATGCAGATGTGATGGATATTACTAAACAAAATATGTGATCGTGGAATAAGATTTGGAATGTACTCTTGTTATAGTATTAAGACTTACATAAAAGTCTACCCTTTATTCAATCAATAAGCAAAAGATACCACCACTGCTTATAGATTCTAATCGTTTAGAGTTAATTACGCAATCACTATCTGTACTAACAGTCAAACTCTCTGTTTATCCGCCCTCTGAGTTGTTTTGATGTGGCTAAAAAAGCATATATCAGTCAGTCAGCTACAACGTAGGACCAGGCGCATATATGCATCGATCCAGGTTGCCATACCTCATTAGCACAACAAGATGAACACCGGATTCATAGGAGTGGTTAGGTCAAAGGTGGTAATATATAGGAGAAAGATTGCATATAAGGATACAGTATAGGAAGAAAGAAGTAGTTAGTAGAAAGAAAGATATGAAGTGATTTTAATCTCTTAGTTTAAGGGAAGACAGGGAGTGTATACACTGGCATTGTTGCTTAGCGCTACCAAAAGACTCTACATTTTGTCAGCGTCTTCACCAAACAGGACTATATCATCTGCGTGATTCTCTCGTGTTTGCGGTTCACAAGTCTTAGTTAAGCGTCTGATAATTATCGAGGCTAGTATTTTAGATACTATATTAGTTAAACTAATCCCTCAATGGTTGTCACAGGATGATTTTGACCCTCTCTTATGTATTGGGACGATAAGTGATTGTGACCAGTCAGATGGAATAACGTCTAACTCCCAGATCTTAGCTAAAATATCAGTCAACCTAGTCGCTAAAATTGGACCACCATCCTTAAAGACTTCTGGAGCCAATCCATCTGGACCAGCTGCCCTTCCTCGTTTCAGATTAACTATAGCCTTTTGAACTTCAGCAAGAGTAGGGGGACCTACTTCAATGTTCCATTCACACTGTCCGTGAATGGAGGGTAGTTGTAGAGTAGCTGAAGGCCAGCTGAACTGTTCTCTGAAATCTTCCACCCATCGTTCTAAACGTCTGAACTGAGAGCAGATGAGGGTGTCGTCTTTTTCCGAAATAGCCTGACTTATTAATTCCAGTTTCTTCTATTAATCTGTAGAGCTGTCTTGTGTTCCCTATAGCCGCCGCCTTTTCCATCTCTTTTACTTTCGTTGTCCACCACTGCCCACGGTCGTTTCTTAGACTTTTTCTTAACCTAGATGTGATTTGTTGTCGCTCTTCATCATGTTCGGAACCTGATGGGACGGGTTTGCGAGAATCCATCAGTGTGATAGACTTTGAAGAAATCCACTGGTTCTTTGAAACTCTGTGGTTTAAGTCACTAATAGATGTCACAGCTGTTTGTATATCTTTCCAAGCAACATCTGAGTCAGCCTCGTTTTCAGAATTACCTAAGTGTGACCTCAGTTGTTCCTAGAACCTTTTTTTGGTTTTCTCGTTACTCAACTCAGTTCTAATGGGTCTTTTTAATGTGGCATTTTTGCGTCCAGTGAGGCGCAAGCAGATGCGTGCCCGTATTAGGGCATGGTCGGAGTCCAAGCAGGTACTCTAGAATGAGCGACAATCTTGTACCGACCCTCTCCAACGATGACTGATGGCAATATGGATAATTTGAGTCCATCGTTGATTTGGTGTAAGGGGTCGCCATGTTAGACGATGTCTTTCCTTATGCTTAAAATTTGTGTTTGCTAAAAATAAACGATTGTCTGAGCATAGCTGCAGCAGACGATCACCATTATCTGTTCGCTGTGCTGGTATAATAAAATACCCACCTAAATGCCTTTCTGTTTGGTTTAAACTACCTATCTGGGCATTAAGGTCACCTGCTACGAGTACTATGTCTGAACATTTAGCTTTCTGTAAAATTCATCTTTCATTTCATCTGAGCTGCAGTCGGTGGGAGCGTAGGCAGAAACGACAAAAAGGCAACGACGTGTGTCCCTATCCTTCCGAGTTCTTACGGAGCCGTTTAGCCGAACAGCACATAGACGACTGTTGACGGGGATCCACTCTAACAGTGCTTGTTCCGCCCTCATACCTAATGCTATGCCTACACCTGCCAGTCCACGAGAGCTGGCCATCGGGTCACCAGATACACGGAGGGTGTATCTCGTTGGTTCTCCGTTTTGCCGAGGTGAGGTCAAGTGAATGACCACACTGGGATCCTGTATGCGTGTTTCGGAGACACAGCATGCATCAATGGCACGAGATTCTAGGGTTTTAGCCAAGGAAGCCTGCTGACCGATTTGACATAGGGTGCGTACATTGAAGGCTCCAATGTGTAGTGTGGAGCGACGTTTCAGTAGACCTGAGACAGTGTTTTGAGCACTAGAATCGTTGGCTATGGTGACACTTGAGGGGGAAGCCGAAAGAGGAAGTTTAGAGTTTGAAGTTGATGTAGGAG